GCCCAGATCCTTCTGCACTGATGCACTTTGAATCCGCTTCCCATTTACATAATAATTTGCTCTTCTTCTGGCCAAAATGGACAACCTCGCACTTATCCACATTAATCTCCAACTGCCAGATTCTGACCCATTCTTCTAGTCTCTCAATATCCATCTGTAAACTCTTTTACCTCGTCAGCATGGTGGCTCAGTGGTTAGCACTGCTGCCTCACAGTGGTTAGCACTGCTGCCTCACAGTGCCAGGGACCCGGGTTCGATTCTAGCTTCAGGCGACTGTCTGTGTGGAGTTTGCACATTCTCTCCGTGTCTGCGTGAGTTTCCTCCGGGTGCTCCGGTTTCCTCCCACAGTCCGATGATGTGCAGGGTACGTGGATTGGCCATGCTAAATTGCCCATAGTGCCCAGGGATGTTTAGGTTAGGTGGGTTAGACGTGGGAACTGCAGGGTTAGGGGAATGGGTCTGGGCGGGATGCTCTTCGGAGGGGCGGTGTGGATCTGTTAGGCCGAATGGCCTGTTTCCACGCTGTAGGGATTCTTTTGAGGACATTCTCCACTGCAACACCTGTTCAGATGGAACAGCCATAACACTCAGTCATCAAAACAGTTGGGTATTTTCTTTTTAAGTGAGTTCAAGCAACAAAGACTTGCAATTATCTGGAACCTTGTGGTTTCCAAGAAATGTCTTGGTATTTTTGGTCTTTTCATTTGCTTTCCAAAAAAAAATCAGGCTGTTTCACAATCCTTCAAACTTCGATGTGCAGAAAAATTGTTAAATATAACAGTATTGTCAGGAGAAACTGGTGGTTGATTTCTGATGAAAACTGTGTGAAAGCAGAAATAAAATGTGAATAACTACTGCTCTATTTTTTTTTTCCATGAACAGCTATGGAAATACTTAGTTTGAGAGTTAGTTACACTTCCCATGAGCTGTACACAATGTAATGCTCGCAAAGAATATTTTTGCAGAATCCTAGCTATTCATAAAAGCTTTTTCAATGCAGAATGAAAGAAGTCTGTCACAGTGTCATGATTAGTATCATTCAACAGAGCTCTTCATATCAATTTAACCATGTAGCTGGAAGTAAGCACAATATATGCAGTGATCAAACCTACACCCAAATTGACCCATATTGTCCTTTAGAAATTGATGATCAATTAACTCCTGGCAGAAAATGATGTGAATGCTTACAGATTAAAAACCTATTGAATCCATTGTTTTGTACAAGGTGCAATTTTCAGCTGTAGAACTCTCCAGGAGTGTGTATCTCCTGCAGCTCAATCCAAATACCCAGAGTCAATATAAAATAGATTCAATCTCAAGGGCATATTGACATGTGCCATTATCCTTTCCTCACCCTTTCTATAATATAACCAACCCATAGGATCTTTCCAAAGGAAGTTACACATTACCAGTGCAACTCTTCCAAAACATTAAGCTTGATTCAAAATATAGTGGAGATTTTTTTTATTTTGCAAGAAAATTGATTCCAGGATGAAAAGAATTTTGCAATCTTCAAGCAGCAGATTCTAACCAGACTGTCTGTCTGTCTTTTAATGTCTGGACTGATGTCCTCAAACTTCTTGGCTTCTGTGCGCCCCCTCATGTAATCCCTTTAGCTGAGTGTCTTGGTGATATCATTCACCTTGGTGTTCTTCCTTGTTAGGTGATCAGATGGGTTTGGCTGTAACAAAAATTTCTATATGGAACATCAAGCATTGTGCACATTTAGATGTTCATGCTTTGGCATCCTGGAGCCTGTCACCCTGCTATAGTCACTGACTGTGACAGACATTAGAGTCCAGGCCCAATTCATTACCAGCTCTGGGGTAGAAATAAGCTATGTACTGATTTCAGTACCAGGGTGTGCCTCCAGACACCAGTCCCAAGGCTGGTCTCGCCAGCTTCAGTTGAGTTAACAGGACAAGCTTCCTGCTACCTCATTTATTAGAAGTGGACTTTTAGGCTTTAGCACATTCCTTGCTCTTAGGTAAGGAGGAGTAGGAGGAGGTGACAATGGGGCAGCCAATCCTGAATCATCAGCAACCCACCTAGGGTATAGTGGAGCCAGAACAAGTATTCCTAAATTCCTTAGTGACACATCAAGCTTAGAAACAGGCAAACATTTTGCCTTTGATAAAACAGTGTGGAGCTGGAGGAGCATTTTGCCTTTTCTTTTTAATTGGTGGTGTTTACTGACCATACGAATTCCTGCAATGCCCAAACCGAGCAGGCCTGATATCTTCTCCACTCAGTGCTATCCAGTTTCTGTGTCTTGGTCTTCCTGGGAAGGAAAGGAATAGTGGAGAAAATTGAAACTCCTAATTTGAGTTTGTCTCCAATCCATGTAGCCAAAGTTGACCCCGTGATAGAGCAATCCTACAGCCTTTCAGGCTATACAGCTGCTCAAACCACCTACACTGAAGCTTTACAATGGAGTCCCTGTCCTGCAGTGTCTAGGCTTATGCAGAAGAAGTCTGAATTTCATTCAGTGATTAGCTGAGCACCATGAGGTCATTATGATTACCTTCCTTGTTGGTAAAGGGAAGAAAGCAGTGGCTAGCAGACTGAAAGCTTTTTATGACCTTAATGTGTCAACACTTTGAAGTGTAGTCACACCAGCTTTACTTGCTTTAGTGTATATCCGACTTAAACTAAAGGGGAAACATCAAAACACTTTTTAACCAGCTGTTAGGAGTTCAGATCAGTTAAATGAATTCCATCTTCCACTCCATTTGTTTTCTCTGCTCTTGGAGAAACCTCCAACTGTGGCTTCTTCTGAGACCTTCAGTGATCTGTTAGGAGTCTAATGTGCTATCAATGCTTCAGCATGTGAGCTCATGATGGTACAATTTGTTGCCTCATGTTTTCGATTTATATTTTTTTAAAAATTAAAAATTGGGCTCTTATGATCATTAAGAATTTATATTTTTTTTTTAAAAATTTCATGCTGTTTTCTTCTTTCTTGTTCCAGTATATGGGCTGTGTCGAAGTATTGCAATCCATGAGGTCACTTGATTTCAATACAAGAACCCAAGTCACAAGGTAAACATCAAAGCAAAAACGTAATGCTGGAGAAGACAGATCTGCACTGTTAAAATATGTACTTTGATACTTTGTTTAATAGTGAGTACAAATCAAATTTTTGAGTGTCATAGGTTTTGAAAGTGTTCTTGATCTTTCAGGAAAGCAAAGTTGGTTTATATATATTTGTAACTCAGTGCAAATTTACAGGTCCACGTGTTAGGTTGAGAGAATAAGATGGTCCAGCTTACAGATTTCTCAATTATCGGTGAACTAAATTTTATAAATAGTGTTTTCAATGGTTCCTGATTTTGCTATTAGAACTATCTGGTCTGAAATTTGACCACTCTAGAATTTCTTAAAATGCATCATGTAAAATTTCAGCAGCAAAACATGGAATAGTTGCAGCATTGAAGGAGGCCATTCAGCCCATTGCGTCTGTGCTGGGTCCCTATATGAGGGACCATCTGGCTTGCCCCATTTCATTTCAAAAACAAATCTGTGTGAAATTGTTAGCCAGTCCCTAAGATTTTAGCAGTATAATACTACCAGACAATGAGCAATATAATTTTACATAGCAACATTGAAGGTAATGGTGGAGGCTGTTTAGGGAGCACTTGCGACAAGTGCTGGATAGGTGTGTCCCATTGAGGCAAGGAAGAGATGGTAAGTTGAAGGAACCTTGGATGACAAGACATGTGGAACATCTAGTCAAGAGGAAGAAGGAAGCTTACTTAAGGTTGAGGAAGCAAGGATCAGACAGGGCTCTAGAGGTCGACAAGGTAGCCAGGAAGGAACTGAAGAATGGACATAGGAGAACTAGAAGGGGGCATGAAAAAGCCTTGGCAGGTAGGATTAAGGAAAACCCCAAGTTGTTCTATACTTGTGTGAGGAACAAGAAGATAGCCAAAGTGAGGGTAGGGCCGATCAGGGATAGTGGAGGGAACTTGTGCCTAGAGTTGGAGGAGGCAGGGAAGGTCCTTAATGAATACTTTGCTTCAGTAATCACCAGTGAGAGGGACCTTGTCGTTTGTGAGGACAGCATGAAACAGGCTGATATACTCGAACAGGTTGATGTTAGGAAGGAGGATGTGCAAGAAATTTTGAGGATAGATAAGTCCCCTGGGCCAGACAGGATATACCCAAGGTTATTATGGGAAGCGAGGGAAGAGATTGCTGTGCCTTTGGCGATGATCTTTGTGTCCTCACTGTCCACTTGAGTATACCAGATGATTGGAGGGTGGCAAATGTTATTCACTTGTTCAAGAAAGGGAATAGGGATAGCCCTGGGAATTACAGACCAGTCAGCCTTACTTCTATGGTGGGTAAATTATTGGAGAGGATTCTGAGAGATAATATTTACGATTATTTAGAAAAGCATAGTTTGATTAGAGATAGTCAGCATGGCTTTGTGAGGAGCAGGTCATTTCTTACAAGCTTTATTGAATTCTTTGAGAATGTGACAAAACACATTGAAGGCAGGGCAGTGGATGTGGTGTATATGGATTTTAGCAAGGCATTTGATAAGGTTCTCCATGGTATGCTCATTCAGAAAGTAAGGAGGCATGGGATTCAGGGAAAATTGGCTGTCCAATAGAAGACGGAGGGTGGTAGTAGATGGAAAGTATTCAGCAAGGAGCTGTGGTGTTCCACAGGGATCTGTTCTGGGAACTGTGCTGTTTGTGATCTTTATAAATGACTTGGATGAGGAAGTGGAAGGTGGGTTGGTAAGTTTGCAGATGACGCGAAGGTTGGTGGAGTTGTGGATAGTGTGAAGGGCTGTTGTAAGTTGCAATGGGACATTGACAGGATGCAGAGTTGGGCAAAGAAGTGGCACATGGAGTTCAACCTGGAAAAGTGTGAAGTGATTCATTTTGGAAGGTCAAATTTGAATGCAGAATACAGGATTAATGGCAGGATTCTTAGCAATGTGGTGGAACAGAGGGATCTTGGGGTCCACGTCCATAGATCCTTCAAAGTTCCCACCCAAGTTGATAGGGTTGTTAAGAAGGCATATGGTGTGTTGGCATTCATTGATGGGGGATTGAGTTTAAGAGCCGCGAGGTTATGCTGCAGCTCTATAAAACCCTGGTTAGACCACACTTGGAATATTGTGTTCAGTTCTGGTCACCTCATTATAGGAAGGATGTGGAAACTTTAGAGAGGGTGCAGAGGAAATTTAAGCGACTCTTGGATAGGCACATGGATGATAGTAAAATGAAGGGTAGGCGGGTTAGAGTAGGATAATAGGTCGGCACAACAACCAAGGGCTGAAGGGCCTGTACTGTACAGTTCTTTATTCTATGTAGGAGCAGGAGGAGGCCACTCGGCCCTTTGAGCCTGCTCTGCCATTCTTCACAATCATGGCTGATCATCCAACTCATTATCCCAATCCTGCTTCCTCCCCATAATCGTTGATCCTATTCGCCCCAAGTGTTATATCTACTCGCCTCTTGAATACATTCAATGTTTTGGCATCAACTACTTCCAGTGGTAATGAATTGCACAGGCTCACCACTCTTTGGATGAAGAAATGTCTCCTCATCTGTCCTAAATCGTCTACCCTGAATCCTCATACTGTGACTCCTGGTTCTGGACACACCCACCATTGGGAACATCCTCCCTGCATCTGCCCTGTCCAGTCCTGTTAGAATTTTATAAATCTCTGAGATCCACCCCGCCCACCTCATATTTCTGAACTCCAGTGAAAACAGTCCCAACCTAGTCAATCTCTCCTTCATACGTCAGACCCGCCATTCCCGGAATCAGACTGGTAAACCTTTGCTGCACTCCCATGTGAGCAAGAGCATCCTTCCTCAGAAAAGGAGACCAAAATTGCACACAATATTCCAGGTGTGGTCTCACCAAGGCCCTGGTCAACTGCAACAGCACATCCCTGCTCCTGTACTCAACCTCTTGCAATGAAGACCAACATATCATTTTCCTTCTTTACCACCTGCTGCACCTGCATGCTTACCTTTAGCGACTGGTGCACAAAGACACCCAGGTCATGCTGCACACTCCCCTCCCCTAATTTACAGCTATTCAGGTAGTAATCTGCCGCCTTGTTTTTGCTTCCAAGGTGAATATCCTCACGTTTATCCAAATTATACTGCATCTGCTATTGATTGTCCACTCACCCAACTTGTCGAGATCATGCTGAAGGATCTCTGCATCCTCATCACAGTTCACCCTCCCACCCAACTTGGTACCATCTGAAAATTTTGAGATATTACGTTTTGTTCCTTCATCCAATTAATTAATGTATATTGTGAATAGCTGGGTCCCAGCATCAATCCCTGCGGCACTCAACTAGTTACTGCCTGCCAATTTGAAAAAGACCCATTAATTCCTACTCTTTGCTTCCTCTCTGCCAACCAGTTTCGTGCCACCTCAATACACTTCCCTCACTCCCTTGCGCTCTAATCTTACTTAAAGTGTACTTTTTCCAAATAAAGTGGATGGTTTTTATGCTCCTCACCCTTCACTGACAGGCTTGAAGGTGAGAGATCCCCATAAAGCTCAGCTGGTGGTTTTTCTGCCCTGACCTATCTGAAACTTTTACCTGGGGAGAGGAAGGTTTGAGGCAGTCTACCCTGCCTTGGGCAAATTGAGACCATTTAGTGGCCAGTTGATGACCTTGGAAGGGTCTGATCCAGGTGCTGTCAGCATTTCTACCTGTGTTGCGGAGAGGCATACACCATGTGTAAAGCTTGGCATCTCCTTTTTGTGCCACAGGAGTCCATTGGAGGCTTTATCTTTCTCTCCTCATCTTACCTTAATCCTCCTTTTGGCCTCTCAATCTTGCTCCTTGCCTCCTCACCGTTTGAGACTCTGCACCCCTGGAGTTTCCTCAGTCCTCAGAGTGGCGGGATTGCCTGAGGCTGCAAAGCTGCTGGCCTCTCCAGTTGACTGGCAGCTGTCTAAGGTGTGACTTTCTTCCAGACAAGAACTGAAGTCTTGTCTCGAAACAGTTAACTCTGCTCCCAGCTTTTAAATTGTCACAGGGCAGGTGCTGGATAGGCCTCCAGTTGCAAGTAAATCATAAAGATGAAGCATAGAACAGTACAGCACAGTACAGACCCTTTGGCCCACAATATTGTGCTGACCTATTATCCTACTAAGATCAAGCAACCCTGCATACCCTACATTTTACTATCCTCCATGTGCCTATCCAAGAGTCGCTTAAAAGTATCTGACTCCACTATCACTGCCGGCAGCATGTTCCACACGCCCACCACTCTGTGTGAAGAACCTACCTCTGACATCTCCCATATACCTTCCTCTAATCATCTTAAAATTATGCCCCCCACCTCCGTAATAGTCATTTCCACCATGGGAAAAAGTCTCTGACTATCCACTCTATCTATGTCTCTCATCATCTTGTATAACTCTATCAAGTCACCTCTCATCCTTCTTTGCTCCAATGAGAAAAGCCCTAGCTCCCTCAACCTTTCCTCCTAAGATCTGCCCTCCAGTCAGGCAGCATCCTGGTAAATCTCCTCTGCACCCTCTCTAAAGCTTCCACATCTTTCCTGTAATGAGGTGACCAGAACTGAACACAATATTCCAAGTGTGGTCTAACCAGAGTTCAATAGAGCTGCAGCATAACCTCACGGCCCTTAAACTCAATTCCCCTGCCAATGAAGGCCAACACACCATACGCCTTCTTAACAACCCTATCAACTTGGGTGGCAACTTTGAGGGATCTATGGACGAGGACCCCAAGATTGCTGAGAATCCTGCTATTAACCCTGTATTCTGTATTCTGCATTCAAATTCGACCTTCCAAAATGAATCACTTCACACTTTTTTCCAGGTTGAATTCCATACGCCACTTCTTTGCCCAGCTCTGCATTCTGTCTATTATTATTATTATTATTATTATTATTATTATTATTAATGCCAAGTTTTAATTACCATAACCGTTGATGGCTATTTCCAGATGATGATGATGTCAACATATTTTGTGATGAAGTCTAGTTTTCGGTACTGTGTACATACTGTGTACAAGTGGATTA